TGTATAGGACGCAAGCAGATTTTGACATCAAATTTTGGGGTAAAAAAGTGCGTCTTATACACCGAAAAATACGGTACACATTACTTATATTATACCTTGTTTCTAAGGTTATAACCAAACTTATAACGCGTACAGAATTTTAATAACATTCAAGATATAATTATTACGTTTTATTCGACGTTTTGACATTAAGAATTAACAACATAAATCACACCTTATTTAGCGTTGTTTATGTAGTTGAGTTTAATAATGATGTTAAAAACCCAGTTTAGAAGCTTGATCATTCCCTTTGTTTAAACATTCAAAATTATACTGTCATAAAGAATTGATCAGTCTCCGTAACACGTATTGAATCAGTATTTCCCTTACATAAACACATTGATTCTAAGCCTAACTGTTAGAATACTGACTTCAGCCTTTAAACATATTGTGAAACTAACTCCAAAGTTTTCTTCATTTTTGTAAAATTGACTGCCATCATGTTAAAGCCTAAAATTAAAATATTTTTGTTATTGGAACATTGACTCGTTTGTATAGTGTTATAACTCTGATTCAAAACTTTTCTAAGTGTTAAAACACGGACTCCAACTAACATGGGATGTTTTTTCCTAATCAAATTAAATTTGTGAACTAAGTTTCTTAAGTTGCTGGGTCGATCTGAAATTTGAAGAAGGGATGTTTTTAAATAGGTTTAAAAGGTTTGGTTATAGCGGACATTTAACGTCAAATAGAGTTGTCAGTTTTTTTTATTTTTTTTTGTACACAATTATTATAACAGAGATGCTGAAAACTCTAGCCGAGATGAACATTAAACCCTTACAGGTTAATAAATTAGGCGATGTATTAAAAAGTGTATCACTAAAAAATACCTTTTTAGAACCTGGATGTTTTGTTTTGGGGATTGAGCCTTTTGGTGCTGTTGACTTCTGCTGTAAAATTATTAACAACGTTGATTTCTCAAAAATTACTTTTTATATCCATTAAAATGTAATCAGCTTCTTATTGTACAGTACATTATACGTACATTAATCTAAACCTATTTTATTGCTAGTAGGTCGTCAAGAAATTAATGTCGCTTTTTTTTTACATGAAAAAACCCGAACAGCTTATATATCCAAACAAAACATTTATTAAATTAAATAGTCTCCATTCATATCGATGATGCTTTTCCATCTTACAATCAGGTTGTTAATGCCCTGATTTAAACAAATCGCTTGGCTTTGAAGCAAAAACATGTCGATGTCCTCTTTAACACCTTCCACATTTGCATACGTTTTCCCATTAAGACGGTG